AGGGGGCCACGCACAGCGCGGCGGGGTTAATACCTAATTCCCTGCTTGCTTGCCGCAGGGAGCACCGGCGCTCCCCCCCTCCCCCCCCGGTAATGAGAGGGGCGGTGGTGCCACGAACGGGGGAGCGTTCCCGTGAGTACTGCGGGGGAAGATGGGAGTACCTAAATGTTATCCACGAGTATCGTTTACCCTAGTCTTCCTTGTAAAGCGATAAAATAAAAATTCAAAATTACAGAGGTGTCAGATAAAATCCCCAAAACACCCGGGAGTGGGTGAAGAGTTAATAAATGACAGGACGAGAGGAAAAGTCCTCAAGCTGCACCAGGGGAGGTTTCGACTGGACATTGGGAAAAATTTCTTTACTGAAAGAGTGGTCAAGCATTGGAAGAGGCTGCCCAGAGAGGTGGCGGAGTCACCATCCCTGGAGATGTTAAAGAAATGTCTAGATGTGGCATTCAGGATGTGGATTAGTAGTTGTGGTGGTGCTGGGTTGAGGGTTGGACTTGATGATCTTGGAGGTCTTTTCCAACCTTTATGATTCTATGGTAAGAACAAAACCATTCTTCTGGCCCTCCTCTTTATAACCTATCCTACTTGTTACTGTGGCTGTAGGGCAGATTTGCTAAACAGGGCACTGGTCATTGCATGCTGGACGTAGAAATTGGTAAACAGGAGTAGTTTTATTGTTGCGTAAATCATTCATTAGTTTTCATGAATAGAACGCAGGATACATTCAGAAAGGAGGAACAGTGCAGTCAACAAGAGGGCAATGAGAACAAATGACTTTTTCTATGGAAGCATCCAAAATAGAAAATGTGAGGTATCCCTTTCCACTAGTCAGAAATTACAATAATTTAGCCATTTAAAGACAAAAGAACAGCCCACATCTTTAACTAATCAGTTAAAAAAAAGATCCCGGCACAAATGACGACTAGAGATGTGCCTGGTGGAAACAAGCGGAGGCAGGCAGCTACATCCAGGAGGCTTTGGGGAACCTGGGGGGAGCGGGGGTGCTGGTGCAGGGGCTGCGGAGGTTCTCACCGCGGCAGCGTCTCTGATCCACACTCCGTGGTATACAGAGGTCTGGGGCTTTGGCGGTAAAATGGAAATTTCTTAGAAATGCAGCAGCTACCAGGCAGCCTGTCTGCATTTGAAACAAACCTGTCAGTGAAGAGTGGTAGTGGACCTGTATTTAGTATGCCTTCTCTAGTAAGCCCTAAGTTACATTAAAAACTTAGATATTGATCCCACTTTACAACTAGAAATCGGTCGGTAAAAATGGTGACAGAGGCCCCAGCTGAAAAGTTACTATTTTTCAGCCATGGGGCTGAAGATAACAGAATGTTGCTTAATTTTCTAGAAGAAATGCGTGTTTTTACCAGTTGTTAGTTGCAGTTGGGGCATGGAAGACGCTGGAACAGCATTAGTGAATCCTCAGCCACATGGTATAAGTCTTAGGAGAGTTTTAAATGACATTGCTGTCTAATAGGGTCAGTGGTATTGCCTGACTACTGTGGCGAGCGATGCAGCTTCAGTCAGCTTTACCACCGTGCCTGCCCAGCATTTCTGTTCTCTCCTTTCAGCTATCCCTAACCAGAAGACCATTCAATTTAACTGCTTTCCATTCAGCTTACATGAGCGGTGCTTGCCACAGCTAACAGCCTTAACCCGGGTAGATCTCTCTGGCAGCTAATAACACTTTCCAGCTGAATAATGGAAACAGAGGCAGTTAGGAATCAGGTTTGATTCTCCCAAATTCCCCTGAAGATTCAAAGGAACTCTTTGCCCCCAAATGGCATGGGTTTTCTTACCGCGTTGGGACTTGAGAGTCTTAAGATGAGTTCTTGCTTCCGTATGAAACTCGGGGCGATGAATCCCCCGTCACTAAGGCTCGTATGCCTCGAGTCCCAAAAAGGGAGGAAATTAGCTCTGTAGTGGAGGTCACCACACTCAGCCAGGGATAGAATCATAGAATTGTTTAGGTTGGAAAATACCTTTAAGATCATAAAGTCCAACCGTGGAATTATAGATAGTGGCAGGAGAGAGAGGGGAGCATGTAGCTAAAGAGGAGATGGTGTTTTTTAATTTCCCTCTGTGAGGCCACTCTTCGTGGGCTGAGCCTTCTATGGTCTGGACTCCAGTTCTTCAAACAAGGAGTCCTGTTATGGGAAATGTTTATGTCTAGGAGAGGCTGGAGAGTTGGAGGCTGGCAATAGTCTCTGAAGGCTGTAGCACGGGAGTTGGGGAAGAAGGCTGAGGTAGGCAGCCAGCTCCTCAAACAGGAAGCCTTCCTTAGCGAACTGTTGCTTTTTTGGCCAGAGGATTGAGAAATAGAAATCTTTTGGTGAAGAAGTTTAATAATTATGTATTAATCCTCCCCTTAAACCTGCACAAATTGGAATTAAAGCTATGCATGGCTTACTTATTCAAAACTGGAGTCTTGTTAAATTAATTGGAAGCTGTAAAATAATCCGCTGCATAGGAGTGGCACGAGTGAGTGTGTTAACACAGAGCCTTGACCATACAAGATGCGTTACCAGCTTGCCTTTGGCAATGCTTACTGGTTGTTTTGGTATTTGCTGCCAAGTATGTGTCTACTCCTACAAAGTGCTGAGGCCTTCCTAAAGCGTCGGAGAGTGAAGACTGAACCTTTCAGAGTCTGTGTGTTGTTACAGAGCGTTGATCACTTAAACCTCCAATATGGGATAAAGGAAATCTCTGTCAGGCTTCCTGGCTTTAAGCGACCCCCATTAGCTCTCACTGAAGGGCAGCCACACAGCCCCTTGAAAGATCAAGCCTGTATGAGCATTTGGGTGGGACGCTGTTTGTGCCTGTTGCTATAAATAGCAGCCTGTGTTGCCACAGCTTACCTGAAATATGATGGGGAAAATGTGAATTAGTTTTGAAAAACGGTAAACAAAATTGTCCTTCAACTAGTCGGTAAGTGACCAGCACAGTTCTCTTCTCCTTGTTAGCAGTTATACTTGCACACAGCCACATTTTCTTTTAATTTAAATGCGCACACCAAAAATCCTATTAAGGCTTTTCTCCCATTGAGATCGTCATGGAAAAGAGAATTTATAAACAGTACAGCTATCAAAGAAGGCACATCATCGACTCTTAGGTTGGTTATTTGCAATTCATCAGCATGGTCATATCTGTGACCGCACATCTAAAACATATCCTTTGATTCCCACGCTTTGTAAGGAAAGCAGTTATCCAAGGCCATTGTTCATCACTTGCAGTGTGTGTAAAATGTACCATAAATTAGTTTTGAAGTAACTCGAATCACAAGCTTTATTGTATTAAGCTATACTTCTTTGAAACCCAAGTGTGAAATACTGCATTTTCATTTCATTAAAAAAAAAACACCTGCCTCCTGCATCCTCAGTTGTATGTGCTGCATCATGCTTCAAATTGCCAGATATACTTATGAAGAATTATATGCACTTATTAATTTTCAGCTTGAAGACATGTATGCTGATTTATTACTCTGCAAAGAATTAGCCGGCCTTCTGATGCTTATGTCTCTTTTACCTTATGCAGAGCTGATGGATGTTCACAGCACAACTCAGCAAGTAGTTGTAGGTATTACTGTGAATGACCATCTCAGAAAATTGTTTAGAGAAAATCAAGTTGGCACAAAAATTCAGAATGGCCCATTGGAAAAGTAAGTAGCAGCCTCAGCATTTATTGTTCTCTGATATATTTGCTGTCATTGCATAGCCTCAGTAACCTGTTTGGAATAAAGCATCATTTTCATCAAACATGCAGATAAGAAAAGCACGCCTCAGTTTAACTGATGCAAACATCCATTCAGATTTTCTTAAAATGTGACCATGTTTATTTTCCCCACTGGTCATCCAATATTTCTTTGTATTTACCCAGCAATTACAGAGAAAATCTTGAGCTATAGCAGTGCAGCAGTGTCTTGGACTTTCTTGTTCTCCGTGGCATGCCGTTTGGGATTTGTCTAATGACAGCATGTCTCTGGCAGTTCACATCTAAATAGGCTTGGCCATGTTTTATCCT